ACAACCAAGGTCTGAGACAGAAAGTGCAGAGGGCTGTGGAAAGGAGGGCAGGCAGCCCTGCTTCCTAGGCAGCAGGAAGACAGTGCTGTGCGAGGATGGGGATCAGCTTTTTCAAAAAGGAGGTACACAAGGTGACAGTACATTGGGGTGGCGGGAGGGGTTGATGGGTAGGAAGTAATTCCCAGAAAACAGGTTTGGTTTTAGAAGACTCCTCAGAGAACAAACAGTTAACTACCACTTGATACTCCAAAAATTCATGTTTCCAAAGGTAACAAACTTACTGAGTCATCGAGAAAAACATCAAGCAAATGTCACAGCAGTGCCTGAAAGGAAGCAGGCACACACGCTGCTCGGCCTGGCCGGATAAGGATGGAGAGCTCCTTATCTCCGGCACATCAGGATACAGGCTCAGTTACCACCTCTTGCTGGTAACAGAGAGCAAAGCTTCCCATGCTGGCAAACACGCATTAACACTGCACCATTAACATTTAAACTCCTTGACGTTCCTCCACTTAATTGGAAGGGAGGAAATAGGTTCCTCGACCTCTCTTCAATCCAAAACAGTGTCTGTCATTTTCGTTACTGGACGATAGGACTGTGTGCTGCACCCTGTAATAGACATCCATCTCTTTACAGCAGGTCCCACGGCAAACAAAGCGCCCCTGGGTCCTAATTTTCAGTAGTTCACAAATAAGACCCATAATAAACTTAAAGCGGCATCATGCCGCTCAACCAAAGAAATAGAAACAGCCGGAGGGGAAATGGATCCGGGACTCTTACACTATATTGATACATAACGGTGAGCAAGGCAATTACTTATACAGAGTCATGTAATTGCTCATTTCAGAATTATTGAAATCAATTTCTGAAACTAAGAAAGACTAAGGCAAAAACGGAAAAAAAAAAAAAACCAGAGAGCAATGTCTTCCAATGATGACTTCATCAGCTCTTAGGGTTCATAAATACACTGGCCGACACGAACATATTTTGTATTTTTATAAAGCAAGACTCGATCAAGTCTACAAAACATCTAACAATTCTTTAGCATGTCTTCTACAACATCTGCTGGATTTCTCAAAGCCATCCAGGAACAAAGGGAGAAATGAAGCAGGGGAGAAGGGAAGGGGAAGGGGGAGGGGAGGGG